ATTTTGTGATTGCTATGTCAAATGATGGGAAAGAAAAACAATTCTATTTTGGCCTAATTAAAAAATTCCATACAACATAATACAAATATAGATTACATGGAGCTTTCTTAATTTAACTTTTTCTTTACTCCATTGTTGTATTTGATTCTGGCAGAAGAAGTTGCTGGAGATCTTACTCTGTTCCTCTCAGGTCTATCTGAACAGTCAGTTTACTTGGTCTCAAAGTTTCTCTTGCTTGGTTTAAAATAATGCTATTAGTTTTTATTCTGCTGACTTGAGCCCATTTCTCATTTATTAGGGCTCAAACTGTCAAATGCAGTAAATGAGTTTTCTTTGTCTGCCCAACCTAACTGTACTGTGCACCCAAAGAAAACTACCCTGAGTTTGTTTTAGTTAAGGTGCATTGAAGTGTTCTGTATGTTTCAAGTGCTCTTGGAAATTCAAAGGTGATGCAGCAGCTTTTAAAAAACAGCATTCCACTTAAAGCATATAATCCCCATATTTTTGAGGTTAATACCATAACACATTTTAAGGAGTTTGGATTCCTTTTGCCAGTCCGTATGTTTTTTATGTGTACTTACATTGTTTTTAGATGTGGCTGAATGTATCACTTTGCTGTGTCAATTTACAGCTTAAATAAACTTTAATTCAGTGCATGAACTAGAATGTTTTCTGGCAGAATTGGCTTAAACATTGGCTTTTGCAGCAGCTACAGTTCATTGTCTTAAATCGAAGCAGGCAATGTGCTTAACACTTAAGCTGTTTCATAGAATGCTGTTGATTTTGTTAAATAATGCATGCTCATTTTTGTACAACTCTACAAGTGATGTGCCTTCTAATTATCAAAGATTTTGTGTAATTTAATAAAATTATAATTTATTCTTATCCAATTTTATGTAGAGGTAGTATTTTAAGACAGGCTTTTTCTGTACATTACGGCAGCTTTTCTTATTTTGAATGGAGCTTCTTGCTGACCAAACCTGCCCCCTTCTCAGAAGTGCTTTGTTTGCTCTGTACAGCTAGAGATTCTGACATGGGTCTCTCACCTTTGCCTAAACCTGTGGAGGTTTATCTAAACTCTTCCTTCCCACACTAGGGAAGGTGTGTTCACATCATCATTTTTTCCCTGATGTTTGACTGTCTCACAGGGTAGAAAAATGGGTTTTGAAGCTGGGACAGTGAAGGAGACCTGAATCTGAAATGAAAATGACACCACTGATGAAAAAGATCTCTGTTTGGGTCCTACCTATCCAGTAATATGCATATTTTGGTTTTACTGCATTATAACTGGCAAGCTTGTGGCAAGCTGGGAAACTTGGCACTGTTTCAGCAGTAGAAACTGGCTCTGCAGAATTCGTGGCATTTCTTCCTGCCCACTAGTTGCTGTAGTCCAAGCTGTGTAGTTGCCAGAGGCAACCCCGACATTAATGTTGTGTGATGACTGCACTGCAAGCTAGATGAAAAAGAAACTCAGCACATGAAGTTTTTGGGTAGATCTGGTATTTCTGGGTGTGATTAAGCAGGTGTCTGTCCTTCTTTTCTAAGGCCCTCATAAGTCAAAGTGATAGGAAGACTTGTGGCATGAATTGTTACTGCTCCATTCAAAACCAGTTGGGACAAACTGGCATTTTCACAACCTTTATTCCAGGAAGATGCTGTAATTGTGTCTTGAATTTACACTACTAAGAGAGTTATTGAACTCACTGTCCCCTTTGAAGTAACTCTTGACTTCCAGAGGTTATTTGATTGAGATTACAAGTTTATAAAGCAGTGACCTCTTGTCATTAGACATGATGTTACATTGGTATGTAGCCTGAGGATTTTATTAGTTGAATTACCACAGCTTCTATGTGTACAGTTAGACATAAGCCTATCTGAGATTTAAATAAAAATCTACTTGGACCTGAGTAGCATGCAAGCAGCAGGTGAGATGCTATTTTTGAGATGATAATGCTGCCCTGGTGTAGCTGAATATTTACTGAAATGAAGTGGGTGTGCATTTGTCCATTTTGATGCATGAGCAGAATGTTTGTATCCATCTTCGCCAGTCCTTTTCCTTGTTTACTTGCAGTCTGTATAGTACAATCCAAACATTTCTCCTTCCTGGTTCCTGTGCCTGTGCCCCACATTTTTTCTCAAGAACATTTGTAATTCAGGATTTTGCATTTAGGCTATTACTGCCAGCTTGTGTTTAATTTCCCCGCTCCTGCAAAGGTAGTGGTGCTTATGTTTGTGTAATAGTGAGCTCTAGAATCTTCTTCAGGTGTTGCAGTTTCTTTTTTGAAGGCTATGTCATGCTAACTTAGATCATGAAGCTTCTCAGAAAGGTACTAGATTTTTTTTTTCTGATTTACTATCCTTCTGTCCGTTCCTGCCTGTCCCTGCTCAGATCCATGCTGTTGGTTTGCCGCTAAACTACCAAACAGCTGGGTTCTGCAGGAACAGTGAAATTCAGTCCTCTCTTCCTTTTGTGCACCAATTTGTTACCACCTATTTATTAAATCTGATGGTTGCGAGTCTTGAGAGTCTTTATACAGCTATTTTCTTTAAAGCTTTTAGAAAGCAGGTAAAAGGTAAAGCTGTCATAAGCATCCTCTAGACCTTGAAAAAGATTTCAGTCACCTCTGAAAGAAATGTCAGATTCTAAAAAGTGTCCCCGAGCTAAAAGCTTTTTTTTGGTGAAGTATACGGGGAATGCAAAGGAGGTCACTGCATTCATGTACCTGGGAAAGAAAAGCAGATTTCTTTTAATTATCTGAGGTGTTGAAACTGACAGTAAATAGCAGAGTAATTTGAAGAATATATTGAATCCTATCTCATTATGGCACACTTTAAAAAGGCAGGCATGAGGAGACCTTTCGTGTCTCAAAAGAAACAGAACATCTTTTATTTTTGTTTAAGAACCACTTTATTGTCAGTTTATAAATTCACTATTGCTTTGTCTGAAACAAGCTGGTTTTGAATAGTATAGCTCCTTTTCTTGATGACTGTGCTTTTCAAAATGAGCCTCTGAACAGTGTAATTTTTTTTTCCTTTGTGCAGAGTGTCCTTAGTAAAAGTAGTTGAGAAGATTTAAAAGCAGACCACCTCACGTTGCCTAGAGTTGCAATTAAAAAAAAAGTAGCCCTCAAGTTTGAAAGTCAGATTCAAAGTGCTCTTTGCCTCTGGGCACTGCAAAAGCAGTGGTTATTAGATGACTAATAGCTTAGGTGATTGTTAGTAAAACTCCCAGAATAACTTCCTCAAAAATGTGGTGTAGCTTGAAAAAAATACATGTTGGGTGTGTTATGAGTGTATCACCAGTCTTAGAATGAGAAGAGTATTCAGCTGCCTGGTTTTAGTTCAGTTTATGGTATGGGTGATGGGAGGTTTTTTTTGAATCTCCCTCTATAGGTAAAGACAACTAGATTGTGCAAGAACCATCAAAAAGGTAAGTGGCAGGAAACTTTCAAGTAATTTTGTAAATCTTGGGGGCTGTGTCAAATTTGCCTGGATTGAGAGGATGACTTACTTCATCCACCATGTAAAGTCAGATCAGAAGTGAAGTTTCAGACAAATAATACCAGTTCCTATTTTGTCAAAAGAACCTCAGTGAATGGAAACCTAGCTTGCATGTATCTTCATCTGCATCTCAGTGTTCTGGTTCTCAGGGATTCTCTTTTTAGTCTTTATGTATTTGTATCTTGGTGTTTTGTGTTAGGACTGTTTAACGCTCTCTCAAAATCAAGTACTTGGAATGAGTTTTAGAAATAAAGGCATCAGTCAAATAGTGAGCCCTCTAGTGTAGTAACGTGTTTGCTAGTGGGCAGAGCTTTTTCCCTCAGAGAAGTGCAGACTCCTCTCTGGAATAAGGTGTTCAGACTTTTCTGAATTGACTTCCTATGTCTCATGCAATTAGTGGTTTTGTTGTACTTTACCACTTGTTCGGATCACTTATATTTTTCATCCAATTTAATCTGAAGTTTGCTTTCATTGTAGTTTTTTAATGGAAAAGTTGTTGTTGTGTTTTCAATACTGATAAAAAATATTTTGTAGTTATTTAATGTGTTTAAAGAACTATAAAGAAGGTTCTTAAAAGTTAATGTACACATGGAATATTCTTGAATAAATTTCATGTTCATATGAAACACCATTTTTCTAGAGCCCTTGCAGTCTTGCTTTCAGATGACAAACATAAGGAAGATTAACACTGCTCAGAATGCTGTGAACCTTATTTTTTGTGCTGTTACTGTGTGGCATTGCATGAAGGTGATCTCTGCTGAAAGATGTGCTTTTGCAGCTTGATACTAGAATTATGCCTCCTGTCCAGACTTGGAAGGATTCCTATCCTGAAGGTTTAACATAAATACAGTTTAGAGAGTACACTTTGTATATTTATGCATTGAATACATAAATATAGTAACTTCAACTGCAATAGCGACTATTGCTTTTCTGTGGATCAGGTGGAGTACATGCATAAACAGAGTATCATCTCTCTTGCTTATTTTGAGTTTAAAAGAGGAGATTGATACCTTGTTCTTTTAAGTCTATAGGAGGTCAGAACCCCACCGAAGTTGAAATCTCAAGAGCAGTGACTATGTTTTAGTCTCAGTGTTTTCTTTCTCTAAACAATTGAAAGAGTTCCAAAGAATGTGTGACTTCTACTCCTGAAGAACAATTCAGTGAAATTTACTTTTGCATGTGACCAGTACCTTCTAGGTATTGCAAATATTGAGAATGATTTGGTAGGAATAGCATATACATATATGAACCACTTGTGCCAGCAGCTCAAGTCTGTTGTAATATTTAAGAGTTCTTGATTGTTGTAATGTATGTTGTTATAACTAAGGTGATGGAGCACTCTTTGCATGTAACACAGGGTATGTGCCTAACAGGTGTATGATTTAACCTGCTTTTGCCAGTTTGTTGGCAATAAGATGTATTTTAAGAGTTACTTGTACTGTATAAACAGATTTCTTCTCCAGAGATGTGATTTTAAAAAGACCAACCTTTTTTTTTAGGTCCCTTTACAGATGTAGTAACTACAAATCTTAAACTACGAAATCCATCAGATAGAAAAGTATGCTTCAAAGTGAAGACCACAGCACCTCGTCGATACTGTGTGAGGCCAAACAGTGGAATTATTGACCCAGGATCATCTGTAATTGTTTCAGGTAAAAATAAATGCATGCAGTTGTAGGTTAAGTGTTCCTAAGGCCTCTGATGCAGTTCCCTAATGCTTGATCCTAAAGACTGTTTGAAGTATGTCAGCTTTTTAAAACCTTTTTATTTTTAAATAGAAAGGATTCCCCTCATTAGTGTGATGACAACTTGATGTAGAGCTGCAATGATACATGAAAAAATCTTCCATGTAGAAATACTTGCCTTTGTCACATTTATTTGTGGCTCTCAAAAGGAGGAAAAGCAAGTTGAAAATGGGCAGTGACATTAACAGTACATTTGCCTCAGACTACTATATTCATGTTTGTATCCTGAAGTAGAACATTTCTTGGCTGCTCTGATGTGCTTAAAGTGTAACATTTCATAGTTCATAGCATTTAAGAAAAAAATAGTTTACAATTGTATCTAGTAGTTTTTTTCAAGAAAATGGGAAGACTAGATAACAGTCTGCAGATTTGGTAAATGGTTTTTGTAGGTCATTCTCCTGACCGTTTTGTGGTAGAATCTCTAGAATAAGGGATATTCATTCAGGTTGTAGATGTCACAGGCAATACAGATGTGAACTCCTACATCTCCTAGGTCTAGAAAACTGATTATTTTAGAACCCTTGGAGACTTCTGTAGCAAAGCAAAAGGGAAATAAGGGAGCAATCCTCACAGCTTTTCAGATCTACATTCTTACACCCTTTGGGAAGTTTAAAAGAAGCTGGAGAGCTATCTTCAGGTGATATGTTCAAATGATGCAAAGAAGAAGGCAAGACAAGTTTGTGATTGATTAAAACTTTAGAGTAACTTTCCTTTAGGAGTTTTCTAATCTAATATGATCTGTAGAATGGAGCCTTATAAAACTTCATTATTGCTTCCCATGGCAGTCCAGCATCTGGACTCGTGGTATTTATTCACTGGCTTGGGGATGAAAGATTTAAGAATTGATTTAAGATTCAAATAGTCAAAAACTTCTTTATTTCTGTCTTCAACTACAACTTAGAGCCATTTTACCTTAGCTGTGTGTTTGACCTGGTATCTGGGATTTTTCCACTGGGTAGTTCAATATCACAATCAAGATCTTGCTGGCATTTCTCTTCAGGGAATTGAATAGATGGAGGGATTACATCCTGTGTGTTTTCATAGCTATAAATTATCTTTTTAAAGCTTTAAATATTTTGGTTTTTTAAATGAGTCAGTACTGGAGCTGTAAACAGTATTGTGGCTTCAGGATCTCCAATAAAGGGAAACGTGTCACACTGCTTGAGTCTTCAGTTGGCATGACAGGAAGTCTTTGATGTGCCTATTTCTGTATTGCTGGATTCTCATGCAGTTATTCAGCTACAGTGACCTCAAGATGTTTTTGTGTGCCATTGTTTAGTTACAGTGATTCCACAGTGCTTTTCAAAACTAAGTTCTCTTCCCCACAGTGTCAGCTTCATATTTTTTTTTTAGGCATATAATTTCTTTTGGGTCATTTGCTAAGATAAGTGCACAGATTATTTTTCTAGTGACCCACTTTATCTCATCAGTCTCTCAGCTGAATGTTTTCAGTGCTGAGTCATCTTTCATATAATTAAAAATAGATTTCTCTCATATTGTTGTGCAGAGAGAAATAACTATAGGATACTGTGGGCTGAAGCTCTTATGTTCAAAACTGAATGTTGTGGTAGTGTTAGCTGTCTTCAGCCTCTTTAATGCATTGTGCTGATTCACAGCCAAGACAGTTTTTAAATTCATTGTTGGAAATGTGATTTGAAAATCATTATATAGAAGTCCACTGTCGGTTTTTAATCATTTATTACTTTTCAGCTGTGGATCACTAAGTAGATCACTTCTTCTGCCATGTTTTTTCATTTTTTTCCTGAAATACAAATTGCGTAAGAGCTGTTTTTCTTTACATTGATACTCTAAATTTACTATTTATTATCCTGTCGTCGTTTGCTGTTAACTTGTTAACGGAAATTGCTTGTTGTTGAGTTTTTTTCATAATATACGATGTTACTCTTGTTCCTTCAAAGGTTGTTACTGTTACTTGTTAATGTTTTCCCCTCTGCTTTTGCATTTTTCAAGCTCTATCAGTATCTCTGCCACAGCTTTCTCATTGCTATAAAATAGGTACATATATAGTTTACTGTTATAGGACTCCATGTATTTTTTCTTATATTTTTCTGAAAACTGCCTCTGCTTCTCTTAATTTTGTATAAGGATATACTGAGCTGAAATTCCCATTCTGTGGAAGACAGGTGTATGTACACTGCAAAATAATTTATCTTTCCGGTTCATTGAGTCCTCATTCTCTGGTAGATCAAGTTTCAAGTCTATTCCCACATACATATATTTAGATGTAATTTTTTTCGGTCTCTTTTACAGGATGTTTGTTCGTATTTGTGAATGAAATGTCTTTTCCTATAGTAATTACAGAAATAATCATGTCAGCCACACCAGACTCTGACCTCTCAGTCCCTTTTTCTACAGTGTATGCACTGCCTTTGCATTTTAACTTTCAGTGTCTGCTCAATGAGGACTAAATTTGAAGTGCTTGCTGTATGTACATACTTGCTGTAGTAATTAGCTGAAGAATCACAGTTTTATTTTTTTCCTTTGGAACAGTAATGCTGCAGCCTTTTGACTATGACCCAAATGAGAAGAGTAAACACAAGTTCATGGTACAAACAACCTATGCACCACCAAATATTACAGATATGGAGGCAGTGGTAAGTAAAATTGGAGTAAAATGGCTGATGTATCCTTTTCCTTAAAAATTTTGGCTTAACTAGAAATGATTCCTTTTTGAAGAATTGAGTTTTCTCTGAACAAGGTCACCTCTTAGAACTTGCTTGTAGTGATTAGCATAGAGGTTACTGAATGGAAATAGGAGTGAGTCTAAGGTAAGGTCAGTTCAGTGTTAAAATATGGGCATATTATAGCTTTATATGCAGCTAATTTAAAAGGGATAAACAGATTTAATTTAAACGAATCAAGAGTATATTCAAACAACAAGCCTGAAGCTGTATGTGAAGGGGTTCATTTGGTACGAAAAGTGTTTTAAGTGAAATGTTGAATGTGATTATAATGAATTAAAACATTTTCAAGACTAAAAGTAGATCTTGTGTCTCCCTACAAGATACCAAGTGCTGGCTAAACACAGCACAAATGATAGATTTATCTTCTGTTTTAATAGAACATGTTGTAACTTTAGTTCTTAGGCTAGGTTGGTCTGATGCAAGATCCAGAAAGAAGGTATGTAGGTTTGTGCTTGTTAGTTCAGAAGTAAGGTGCCTATTTCTGATTTTACTGGCTGGCACCAATGGGAATGAAGCCCTCAGTTGTCAGAACATGCCTTTTAGGGTGTATGTGGACTCACATAAGTATGTCCTAAGGTGGAGGTCAACGTTGCACATGCTTCTAACTCTACAAACTGTTTTAAGCAATGCCTGGGTTCACACAGGTACATTCGATGTTCACTCAAGGCAGAGAAGGAGAGGGGAAACAAAGGATAAAGATGGGATTTTATAAATTGCTGAAATCCAAGAGACCTCTTGGTCTCTGTTCCCTTATATAAAGGCAAAGATTACTGTGACATCACTCTTCACTGGAAGCTGTGGAAAACCTTCTAGATTTTGTGAAGCTTTGGAGACATGAATGTTAACATCTGTCTGCCTTTTTGAACTGGTTTGTTTTTCTTCACCTGCTCTAGTAGCTCTTGGTTCTGTTTGGTAAATGAAGCCTGCCTGTTTGGTTAAGGATATAAAAACCAACTTCAGAAATACCTTTCAAATAACTGCTTTCTTAGTGAGTTCAGGTATACAGTACTGAGAAACAGATCTTGCAGAAATTTGCTAATTGTAGTTAAAAGTGACTGTATAACTAATACTGCTGGAAAAAAAAAAAGAAGCATGTTATGAAAAACCTGAACATTTGAATCTGCAGCACCTATAAGGTAACAGGAGGACCTATTAGAAAAATTGCTTCAGACTTCAGACCTGTCTCTAAGCCTAAGAATTTGAGGCAACTACATGAGGTGCATGCTTTGAAAGTTAATTGTCAGTTGAGTAGAGAGATTCCAACATAGTTTAGTTATTTAAATATACTGATATCATTAAAATTTAAATGTTTTTTATAAACAGCTTTGAAAAATTCTCTAGGCCCAAATTGTTACATGATATGCAGTAAAAGGTGAAAGTGGGTAACAGTCTAAAATTTGAAGAACTAAAGAAATTTACTCTAGAACACATGTAGAGTCACTAAAAGGTGTCTTTCAATCTTTTATTTAAAATCAGTGCTTTCAAGATGGGATACAAGCAGTACATTTACTGAGGCATAATAGGGCTAGAACTTTCTTTTCAAACTGACTCAGATGCTACTTGTTTCTTGTTGTGTGTTAAGAAACCACTGTATTGTCCCCTCCCTGTGTCATACAAACCTCTGATGGATCTATCCTTGCATTCAGTTTACTCTTTTTCATTTCCAGACTTGAATAACCATCTCTAGCTTTTGTTACTTCACAGCAGTGAGTGTGAACAAAAAGCATTGTTCATAAGCAAGTCTGAAAATTTCAGGGAGGGTAAGCATGCTATTCAGCTGTATAGGAGGTCAGTGCTAAGAGCAATCTTGTGAACTGTTGAGATGTTTGCATGAGTGCAGCATGTTAAATAACTGTATTAATTGTTTTCTTAGTGGAAAGAAGCGAAACCTGATGAGTTGATGGACTCCAAATTGAGATGTGTGTTTGAAATGCCCAATGAAAATGATAAACTGGTAAGTAAGGAATAAGAAACTGTCATACACTGACTGGTAGGCTCTCACAGAAATTTCAGGGTCTTTTTTAACTTATTTGATTTAATGACTAAATGAATTGATGGAATTTGCACTAAATAAGACAGGAGGAGTGTTCAGTATATAACTTTTTAAGGATTCACAGAATCATGGAATATCCCACGTTTAAAGGGACCTTGAAGTACCATGTGGTCCAATATCTTGTCCCAGAAGGAGCACTCTGTCCAACCACACCTTTAAAAACTCCAACAATGGAGAGCAGTTGCAAAAAACTGTATTTTTGTTATTTTTATACTTTATAGTTTTCAGATGCAGTCTCAGTTTAATCTTGAGGGGAAGGGGGTGTAGGGATTGCTTTGTAGTTGGGGATTTTGGGGTCGGTTTATTGTTTTTTCTTTCTTTTTTGGAAAGGATAATTTATGAGATGAAGGTGTAAACTTCCTAAATGTGTGTTAAACAGTAAAAATGTAAGGGTTGAGCATTTATTATCAAGGCACTTCGTTGTCTACTTTCTGGCTTTAATTTTATAAAGTGTGTAATGTAGTGAGAGAAATGTAATGAGCTATACAAAACCACCTCCTTTTGTACTTCCTCCTAAGAAACTGTCCCTAGGGACAGAGGAGCTTGCTTTTTAATTAAAAAGTCATCTCTTTACACGCTTAAGGGGCTTTAGGCCCTTTTAGGGCCAACTCTTTAAGGCCATTTTTCTTAGAGTGCAAGAGCTCTCCATCCTCATGTGTAAGAAATCAAGGAAGGCAGGCCAGAAAATGGCCTGGCTGAGCAAGGATCTGCTCCTTGCATTGCGGAAGAAGGTGATGCACAGCCAGTGGAAGCTGGGACGTGTGACTTGGGAAGTTCATGAGGGTGTGTAGGGGTGGGATCAGGAAAACTAAGTTACAGATGAAAAGGGATGTGAAGAGTAACAAGAAAGGACTCTGTAAGTGTGGAGTATGTTAGAAAAGAAAGGACAAGGAGAGTGAACCCTGCTGATAAACAAGAAAGGAGAACTGGTGACAACAAATATGGAGAAGGCTGAGGTACCCACTGACTTCTTTGCCTCAACCTTCACTGGCAGTCAGGCTTGCCAGGTCTTGGGGGTTCTCATGGTTGAAAAGCAGGACATGAATCTACAGTGTGTGCTCACAGCCCAGAAAACCAATTGCATCCGGGACTGCACCACAAGAAATGTGGCCAGCAGGTCAAGGGAAGAGATTCTCCCTCCTTATACTCTGCCCTTGTGAGACCCCATCTGAAATCCTGAGTCCAGCTCTGGGTTCCCCAGCATAAGAAGCATGTGGACCTGCTGGAGCAGGTCCAGAGGAGGGACTTAAAGATCCTCAAAGGGCTGGAGCACCTCTCCTATGAAGACAGGCAGAGAGAACTGGGGTTGTTCAGCCTGGAAGAGGCTCCATGGACACCTCATTGCAGCAACTTTTAACACAGGCAGATACTGATAGCACAAGGGGGAATAATTTTCAACTAAAAGAGGAAAGATTTGGGTTTGGCATTTGGAGGAAATTCTTTGCTCAGGAAATAGTGAGGCACTGGAACAGGTTACCTGTTGCAGTGTGATGCAATATCCTGTTTCAGCTATCCCAGTCCCTCCCAGGTGTGCCAATACCTTCTCCCTCCCCCTTGCCCCCTTGCTAAGTGCTGTCCGTCAATCTTAACATTCTAGCAAGGGCATTGTCTGATTGGCAAAAGTTCAAAAGATGCTTCTCAGCCCTGGGGTCATTGTCCTATCCAGATGTCACTTGTCCCCTGAGCCTTCCCCCCTCCCACCTGGTTGGTGGCGTACCTATCCCTTCCCTCCCCCTCTCCCCGAGGCTTAAAAGACACAGCAACCCCGCGGTTGGGATTCTGTTGTGTTGGAATATCACAAGATTCAGAGATCCATGACCCTGGAATAAAGCTCTGGATTAAACCCTCTGGCAGAATCCATCTCCTTTCCCTTCACCATTGCCTAAGGCCTTTCCACCAGAGGTAAAACTGAATTCCTGCATGCCTGGACCTGTTCCAAGTGCCTAGCTGCAATATCCAGCCAGCCAAAGGTGTCTCTGAGGTGAAACACCACAGCTGCCACCTTTGGTCCAGCAGCAAGGGTCAGACGAGCCCAGGCATGTTCCATTCAGTAATACTGGGATCTTATTCCAATAGTTAGCCAGAGAAATTGTGGATGTCCCATCCCTGAAGGTGTTCAAGGCTATGTTGGATCAGGCTTTGAGCATCTGATCTGGTGAAAATCGTCCCTGCCTGTAGTGGGCCAGGGGGGGAAGGGAGTGGAACTAGATCTTCTTTGAGGTTCCTTCCCATCCAAACTATTCTATGATTGTGTAGTTTTGAGCAAAGCTGTGGGAATTAGATAGTTAATTTTAGTATTGTTCTTTTCACAGCTTTTTGTGGCTCTTCAAAATTAGTAATGTGTATTTAGGATGCTGTCAGACTTAATTTTCATGATTGTGCAGCACTTTATTTTCCGTCACTAAAAGGTATTACAAGCGCAAAACATTGTGTCACACATACTTCATAGGAGTTTGTGACATGACCTGTTAGGATTTTACTTTTTTTTTCTTACTATTGCAGGATTACTTTCTTGCTTTTATTTCCTCCCCCCCCAAGTTCAAATGCTCTTTGGTGTATTTTATGCCCTCTTTTGGATGCCTCCTGGGTCAGTGTTAAACAGCTAAAGTATTAATTTGTGTCTCAGTAGAGTGTAGTACCAGGTAAACGGTGCAGTCTTCTCTTGCTTTTTTAATACTTGAGCTAATCAGAATTGAACTGTCAGTGTGTCTGTTCAGCTTACTGTAAATATAAACATCATTGAACTATATTAGTAGCTTCATTGTTTCACTTTAAGCTGTGGATGATTTTTCTCTAGGTAAGTAAATTCTCAAATTATTCTTGATGTTTACAGAATGATATAGATGCAAGCAAATCTGCCCCAGTACTGAACACATCTAAGCAGGATGGACCGATGCCAAAACCACATAGTGTTTCACTTAATGACACTGAAACAAGGAAGCTTGTGGAGGAGTGCAAAAGACTTCAGGCAGAGATTATGAAGCTGACAGATGAAAATCGGCACCTGAGAGTAAGTTCTGCATCCGCGTTTATACTGAAGTGGCTTCACTCTTCTTGAGTGAAAGGTCTGGTTTCTAATTAGGCCAAAAGATGTATACTCCAGCAAGTAGATTAAAGCTGTTAGAATGTCAAGATCAATTCATAATATGACATTACTGTCCTGTATATAATGTATATTTTGAACTTTTCAGTGATTGAGACTTTGTGATTGTAATGGAGGAGACAGTGAAGCTGCAGAGCTTTGTATAAGTGCTTTATTTTTCATTAATAATGAGTGAGATCTAGTAATATTTTGTATTACAAACAGCTAGTGAACAAGAGCAATTGTTTGGCCAGAGGAGGTAAGGAAACACTACTTTCTTGTACCTTTATGTAAAGATGTCATTTCAGTGACCAGTAACTAGTCAATACATGACTTTGTGTCTTTTCTATATATTTGCTTTTGGAACAGTTTCATTGGCCATGGTAGCCTTTTAAAGAACTATGAAATAATATGATATCTCCACACCTGTTATTCTGATGACATTGACATTAAACAAAGCAGATATTTCTCCTTAACAATAAGGAATTACTGCTATTTAATTTTGACACATATTAAGTAAGAGCAGAATGCTTCATTGGGCCTGGCAAGATTTTTGGTATATTTTTTAAGCAGAGAGACTAGTGAATTACAGTCCTTATTTAAAATACGGTTTTCTATGTTCATATTTTGGATTTTGATGTGATGTAATTTTGTATGTGCTGAGGGTTTTTTTAAGCTTCATTTAAATATTCAGCAGTAAATATGGCCTTTTGAGTTCAGCTTTTACTATCCTAGTGATGTATTTATGTTTTTTTTTCCATCTGTGTTTTTTCTTCCCCTCAGGATGAAGGCTTGAGGCTCAGAAAGGTAGCGCACTCCGATAAATCTGGATCACCCACAGCTTTGGCCCTCAGAGATAATGGCTCTAATTCTCTTCCTTCACTTCTTGTTGTAATTGCAGCCATTTTCATTGGATTCTTTCTAGGGAAGTTCATCTTGTAGAAAGAATGAGTGAGAGAAGCATGCAAAACTGCAGCTTCCTTTTTTTTTGTTTTGTTTTGTTGGGTTTTTTTGGTTTTTTTTTTGTTTTTTTTTTGTTTCCTTTTTTTTTTGTTTTGTTTTTTCATTTTTTTTTTTGTTTTGTTTTGTTTTGTTTTGTTTTCTCTTGGCCAGAAAAAGGTTTGTTTACCTACCACATCATGGGTAGTACGGCCCGAGCGGCCGTTCTTGTGTACAGCATCATAACAGGCTTTGCCTTTAATGATCTCGCACGGTTAGAAAACACAATCTGAAAAGACAAACTGTTCAGCTGCTGGACAAAATTGTATATTCAGTCATCAATAGCAGGTATCAGTTGCACAGTCAGTCCTTTATGAAAATTCATAAATAAAGAATTGTTCTTTCTTTCTGTGGTTTTAATAAGAATTCGAAAATTGTTCAGAGTCTTGTAAATGTTATTTTAATAATCCTTTAAAATTTTATCTGTTGCTGTTACCTCTTGACAAATGATTTATTAGATTGCTAATCCCACTCATTCAGGAATATGACAAGAGGTATTCTGGGGGAAATGGTGCCTCTTACTGTGTAAATTTTCTCCTTACCTTACTTTGCTAATATCATGGCAGAATTTCTTTCTTATTCCTTGTGAGGCATTGTTGAGAGTTCTTCATCCTTAACAGTCCTGTCCCATAATATTTAACATGACAAAAGAAATAAAATTGTTAACAGATTTTTCTGCTGGGTAGCCTGTTTGTGTGTGTCGTGCTTTTAGAGGGGATTCTTAACAAGTTCATTGTTCATGGTAATTTGCTACTTGTAACAAATGGCTATTTTGAAGTTTATTTGCTTAAGTCTCTGGCTTTGACTGTTGTAATTGAAGCTTGGGAAAGAAAAAAAAAAAAGGTTTCCATTCCATTTGTTTAAAAAAATGAACTGTTTTCTGGCTGCTTTCAGCTACAAAGAAGATGGTTATCAAACTTGTTTTGGGACAGAATAATTTGGATATCCAGCAGGTGCAAATGCCAGACATGAATGTTTTCAATATATTAACAATTTGCTTGGATTGTGCAGGAGTGTAATAATCAACCTTCTGTTCCATCTTTGGATCTTCTGGGTGTCTTCCAGGAGTCAACATTATTCTTTGATTTCTTAAGGGTACTTAATTCACATATATTAACTTACTCAGTTTATAATTCTGTCTTAGCAGATACTAAAAAATGCAAGTTGAACATTCAGACACCCATAGTGAATTTCATGATGCAGAAGAGTTGATATTTTCTGAGTTGCTCACCTTTGGGAAATAAAAAGCATTTTATGCAACTCTTGGCAGATCTACCTGTTTTAACCATGTATAGCTAAGTTTTAAAAAATGCATTTTTGGGGTCTGAAATGCTTCCCTGCACTTAATCTTACATCTTGCCTCATCTCTGAATATGTCATAAAAACAAACAGTAGTATTGAAACAAAATATTATCTGTACTTCTGAGTAAGCATAATCCAATACAGGGAATTACTTGTAAACTTGAAAAATTGTGGAAGAGGTATACTCCTGTAAGCAAAATTGTGTATGCTCTTGGACAGCTTGACTTGATGTGATGCAGCTAAGTGTGTTAGACCTTGGTATATGCACACCTTATGTAGCTGAGAAAAATGTTCTGGGAAAGATGTACGTTATCTTGGTTGCCTTTGATTTCTACTGCTTTTTTTTTTTTTAATTACATCATGTTCTGTCATAGCTCTCTGTGATAAACTTTTTTTATAAACTCTTGCACATGTACAAGGAAGATGATGGAGAAAATGCAAATACTGCTTATGTTTTCACTTAAGCATGCAAGCACTGATGTTTCCAATTACTTGTTCCAGTGTCTGCATTCAAGTCTCCTTCCATCCCAGTGACTGGAAAAAACTCTGTTAAGGTTTTGATTATTTTGGTTCCGCTGGTTCAGAATGGTGTATTTCTTCTGATTTTTTTCTCTAACAGAACATTTCCACATCAAACTTTCATAGCCTGTTCCAAACTGATTACGTGGAAAATAACGAAAGCAATATTGTGCAGGATGTAGTTTGCTTCAGATAGAGCAGTCATTCCTGCATTGAAGGGAGAAAAACCACACAAAACACTCTGGAAGATCTTAAAATGTTTACAGCATGGTGTGTGGAGGTTTTCAAAGGTGCTAGCACTTAGAGGACTTAAAACCAGAAAAAAAAGTCATTGCTCAATGCAACTGACTCAGGTTTTGATACCTGGCAGCAGAATATGGTTAAAGTAATGATAAAATCAGAGTGAAATAACTTTTTTTCATAAATAAGAAAAAAGTTGATGGTAAAACTTTGGTCGTGGTTTAAGTGATGCTTTCAAGTGTACAGCGCTCTTGTAACCGGAGTTCTCAGTAATGCTCTAAGGAGACTGTCTTGGTTTCCCGTAATCCCTTCATAGCTGTATATAAAATGTAATGCTAAAACTATTTTGCTCTCAGGAGTCACTTTGGATGAGATCAGCTGTATTCAGTGAATTATGTAATATGGATTAAATTGTTTGTCTTTGTTCCTGAAATGGTTAGAACTTCTTGCTTTGTCTGCCTGCTTACTCGTGTATGTAAGCACAGGGAAATACAGTCTCTTCACCTGCTCCTGGTGAGATGAGCAGACCATGATGCCCATAAAGTTGTGTCAGGGTAAATGCCTAATTTCAGTTAAATATATGTTGCAGGTTGCTCTTCTGATTTCTGAAAAGGGCAAGATGATACAAGTATACAATAGCAAAGTAGTTATTTAAAAATTTTTACGAATATAGCACTTTAAAAAAGAGTAGTATGGTTCAGGGGGAAAAAAAAATAAACATAGCTAACTAGAAGATACAGCTGCTGTAGTAACTCTGGGCACCAAATTTAACCCACTTTTAAAAAAATCTATAAAGTTCATTTAAGGAAAAGTTATTTGTATCAATGCACAAGTTATTTGTGTGTTTCTACTCATTCTCTAAAAGCTGTTGACAGACACTATTGCCCAGGCTTGCATGTTTCTGCTGCTATGTTTGAAGCCAACTTACTTAAAAGAAGCAACCAAACATCAGCTTGTAACTTCATTATCCTCCTGGGAGGAGGGAGGGTGGAGGGAGGAGTTGAAAGGTGACATTTTGCCAAAGGGGAAAAGACAAAGTCAATAAGCAAAACTTATCTTTCAGGCCTTCTTCAAAGTTATTAAAGGTTGAAGTGTTAATAAACTATTAAAAATGTAGCAGTGTCCTTTTTATTTTGGAACTTCTCACTGACTCCATTCTGTGGACTGCTGCTAGAGAAGAGGCGTATCTGGTCCCATGGGTGGTGTTACTGCCCTGCTCTGGGTTCTGCTGGTAAATGGCAAGAGGCTGTCTTGGATGAAGAGTCAGTGCTGGAGTGAAGAACAGGTGCCTCAATCCAGGCAGCACTGGGGATGCTGATGGGTCTCTCAGATTTATAAGAATCATCTTGACAAATTTTCCTTTTGGGAGTCCACTGGTTTTTATGTATGAATTGACTTGCTGGAGCAAACACTTGTTTCAGTCTGTAGCAAAAGATGGAATAAGAGCTATGCAGTTACAGAGCAACCCTAATAAATAAATAACACTGCAATGCCCTCCTCTCCAAATTTGCAGGTGGGATTGAAATTCCATAGCCTGTCTTTTTGTCTGCATTGCTGTGAAGGTAACAGTTCACTGCCTTGCCTGCTACTCTGGTTCCTGTGGAATGGCTTTGTGGGGGTGTTCTGGAAGGCCCATCTGTGTGTAGCACTCACCACTGCTGCTAGCGAGCCTCTGTCTTGGCTGATCTTGAGCTTCTGTGGTAGCTTTAGAGTGGTGGCACATTGGAGTGTTGGACAAGAGGGGGAGCTAAATGCAGGAGTCAGTTTTCACAAGGGTTTGAGCTCCTTCCTGTGGGAAGTACTGAAACTAATGATGATGGAGTGAAGTAGGTTATTTCTTGTCCAAATGTGTTTCCCAGGGACACTGAAATAGTGTAACCAAGTGTCTGAAGTTGGTCTGTTGTGTTTTTCTGTTTCAGTGTGTGTTGGGTATGCTGAGGAATTGCTGATTCTAACAGGGCTGCATAAGCAGAGGTAGTGCTGGTGTTGTTTACTTGCCCTATATGTGACAAATTATCATATAGAACAGAGGTCTTGTGCAAAGACAGAACAGTTGATTCTTATATTTTATCTGGGATTGTCATTACTGCCAGGGGGTGGTAAGGTCTGTGCCTGTGCCTCATTTGCTGGGAGAAGAGTTTATGTGTTTGTGTGGGGAACTAGATCTGGTAACTTCTTTGGATGAAATTACTGTTTCATCCACTACAAATTATGTTTTAACTGAATCCTGGTACAAGCATGCAGTGCCACAATGCAGTGCCATTTTATTTAAAACTTGGTACCAGCGTATGTCATGTTGGTAACACTGCCAGCAGGGTATTGAATCCGTGTTTGTACTGCAGCTACTCTCTTGCTGGCAGTGGTGGAAGGCTGATGTCCTCCCTCTTCCTTAGAAGAGACTTAAAAGGATGTTTGTGGTAACCAGGCACAGAGTTATGGGCAGACATCCATAATTACAGTGAAGCAATCTGAGCTCAAGCACTTGAAATAAGTGAAACAGTAATTGAAGGGTGGCTGAAATAGTTATTGTTACCTTTTGAATTGGTTGATAAGAAAAAAAAGCATTGTAAGTTTTTTTGTTTAGTTGTGGTGGTTTATTCTTTTTTTTTTTTTTTTAAGTTAGACTGCTGATCATCCAAGTTCTGCAAGGGAAAAAACCCCTAACAATCAACCAACCAACAAATTGCCATAGTCTAGGAGTAATTATTTCAGGATTTTGTGGAAAGTGTTTACTAATATTGGTGCAGGTTCACATGCAAAGATGAATTTGGAAAGACTGTTATTGGGGATCAGTATCTAGGCTTTTCTCACGATGGGTAATAGTTAAATAGCAGTCTTTGTGACTGTCTTGGTCTGCCTTGTCAAGAATGGGTTATCCTGGCTTTTGAGATAGGGAAACTGAGGCATCAGTGTTGAGGCAGATGACTAGGTAGTTTAAGCACAGCCCTTATTTTCTAGCATACATTCTGTGCTGTTTCTCATCAATTATTTCCTTGAGCCATGTCCAAGTCTTTTTTTTTTTTTTGTTTGTTGGATTTCAAAGATGCTGCTTCGTGTTGCTTAGACATCTGTAATAGTCTTTTGAAGCAGCTTCCTAATGACTTAGCTGTTGCTTTGTCTGTTCCTGAAGCCAAGTGTTGAACAGACAGAAAATGTAACTGTTAGGTGTTTAGAAGTGGAATGTGCTCACTGGGATTATAATGCCTGACCTCAGCCAAAGATAGTTGAGGGGGGAATAAGGGAAGAAAAATGCTAAGCATTTGGGTGTGTTGTGTTTGTAGTCCTGAAACATAAAAGTCAGTCTGTGTTGCAAAAACCTTCTGTGGATCCAGTGCTGTTTGCACTTAACAAGTAAAAGAAAGCAAACTGTCCTAAATGTGTACGGCTGCCCTGTTGGTATATATTGTTGCGTTGGGTTTCTGTGGCAAGGCTTTGGTAGTGGGGGGGCTGCAGGGGTGGCTTCTGTGAGAAGCTGCCAGAAGCTTCCCTGGTGTCCTACAGAGCCAATGCCAGCTGGCTCCAAGATGGATCTAACACTGGTGAGTGTGTCAGTGATGGTGGTAGTGACTGTGGGGTAACATGGCTATGATGAGGAAGAAGGTACTGCCCAAGAGCAGATTGCAGCCAGAGTGGAGAATATGTGTGAGAAAGAGCCCTGCAGACACCTTGTGAGTGAAGAAGGAGGGGCAGGAGCTGCTCCAGGCACCAGTGCTGACACTCCCCTGCAGCCCATGGAGGGGTTCACAGGGATGCAGAAATCCACCTGCAGCCCATGGAGGACCCCACGCTGGAGCAGGTGGATGCTTGAAGAGGCTGTGACCTTGTGGGAAACCTGCAGTGGAGCAGGCTCCTGGCAGGACCTGTGGACCCATGGAGAGAGGAGCCAATGCTGAAGGTTTTCTGGCAGCACTTGTGACCATGCTGGAGCAGTCTGCTGCTGGAGGAGTACACCTTGTGGAAGGGAGCCATGTTGGAGCAGTTTGTGAAGAACTGCAGCCCATGGAAAGGACTCATGTTAGAGAAGTCTGTGAAGGACTGTCTCATGGGAGGGACCCCATGCTGGAACAGGGGAATATTGTGTGAGTCCTTCCTTGAAGAAGGAGCGGCAGAGACAATGTGTGATGAACTGATCACAACCTCCATTCCCCATCCCCCTGCACTGTTTGGAGGGAGAGGAAATCAGGAATAAAATCAAGCCTGACAAGAAGAGAGGGGTGGAGGGAAGGTGTTCTAAAATTTGGTTTTCTTTTTCATCATCCTACACTGATGTGGTTGGCAATAAAGTAATTTGCCCAAGTAGTCTGTTTTGCCCATGATAGTAATTGGTGAGTGACATCTACCTGTCCTTATCTTAACCCATGAGCCTTCCATTGTATTTTCTCTCCGAGGGGAGTGATAGTACAGCTTTGGTCAGCATCTGACATCCAGCCATGTTCAACTCGCCACAATTGCTCTTCCCATGGAAGTGGAGAAATATTTTTCCTTTGCTGCTTTGGTAGCCCAAGCACAGATGATACAGACAGATACTTCAGCACTTCTTTTTTTAAAAAAAGCACTTCTTTTTTAAAAAACTATACGTGTGTGACTCTTGCAAGCAGAGATGCTCCAGAATCCATCTGACTCAGAGGTTAAGCCCACTGATGTATTTTCACTCAAAATTAGTAAATGTTTCTATTACTGTTTTTCAGACTGCAGTAGATTTCTGCACTAGTATGAAGGTTGGTCTGAGAAATGTTAGTAATGAGAATAATTATCTCTGCTTCTTAATGCTTGAGAGACATTACTTTAAATCCTTGCGTAGTTTGTGGAACCATGTTATGGAAAGGCTTAGGAAGAAAGTCTACAGAAAACAAAACCTGAACCTTGGGTCTATCCCTCTGGGACTGCAATCAGAAGTACTAAGAGTGCAGCTTTGATAATGAAGTGAGTGTTTCTTAGAAGAAGAAGAAGAAGCTTATGTAGTGGCTATTTTTCACCGCTTGCCTTAATCGCCTCTGGTTAGTTTAAAATGTTGAAGTGATAAATATGAGATATGTGTCCCACACCTTAGGAATGGTTGGTGTCAAGTGAAGAAAATCAAGACTATGGTAGGAAGAGATGGCCATGACAAAAGTGAGGTGGACTGCATCAGAAGTGGCTTTGTGGTGGCTTTGTAGTCCCAGGATGCCTGGACGGTTAGAAAGGTCTGTATGTGCTGCCTTCTCTCCAGACATATGCTGGGAACTGCCATGCCTTCTCCAGGCATGGGGATTTCTCTCCAATTTTAGGGTGTAAAGCCTCAAACATGGTGGTTGCCCTTGTAAACAGGAGAATGCCAGGAGAAGGATTTTCATTTTATTTGTGCCCAGGATTGTCTAACCTCAGATTTCCAGTGCAGCCTTCAGTTTCATGGCAGTGCTTTCCGACTGCACTGAATACCTTGAAATACTTTAGCCCTTGGGCCTCTCATTTCACATCCCAGCTTCAAGAAAATGAGAACAGATTGCCTTCCTGATTAGGTGAAATAATCTCTTCATCCTGCCTCCACAGGAACCAGGTTACAATGGCAAAGGAAGGTCAGCGTATTTGTGGAAAAACCTGACTTAAAAGAGACAAGATTTATGTGATTGCAGCATTTTAGCACTGCTGTTCCCCGTGTGAATTTGAAATCTAGTTCAAGCCACATTTGATAGAGAGGTGTATGTTTCACAGATGCCAATTACCTCCAATTAAAGGAAGATTAGAGCTCGGATGAAAGACATTTAAATTGAGTCTCCCAGCCTGGGCAAGCTTGTGTGGCAAGCTGGAAAGATACCTGTTCTTCTTGCTGCTGTTGGCATCCTTGCCAAGCTGTGGGCATGGGCACAGATCAAACACCCTGGCAGCTGCTGGCAGTGGCCTTGCTCTTGTCAGCAATGGGGTGAGAGATGAGTGGGCTACAAGGGAGCAGGTTGGCAGGAGCAGTGGAGGCAAGAGCTGTCACCAGACTAAGCTCATGGAGGGGGTGTGGACGTGAGACTGCTTCATCTACCAGGGAGTGGGAATGGGTGACCCAAGAAACCTGCTAAGAAATGGGCTGAAAAATGCTAAAAATTGGAAGAAAGTATAATCCTGCATGTTATGCATCCTCGCTGCTC